GGTGCTGGTGACGTCGAGCCGGGTGGCCCGCAGGCCGGCTGAGCTGGTGCGCTGCAGGTTGTCGGCCCCCTTCTGGGTCAGGCAGCCGGCCAGCACCCGGAAGCCCTTCCTGTCCAGCCGCCTGGCCAGCATGTGCCCGAAGCCCGAATCGCAGCCTGTGATGAAGACGTGCTTGTCCTGGACGCTGGCCAGGGTCTGGCGGTCCCGCAGGTACCAGGCCAGCCCCCACACCAGGGCCACCAGCCCCACGTAGAGCCACATGGCTGGCACCTGCCGCAGGCCAAACACACCAGCCTCAGAGCTGGAACGCGGGAGGGGCGGGGGTAGCGCAAGGAACCCAGGCGTCCTGGGTCCCCCGCCCCGCTCTAACCACTGGTCCCCACATCCCTCCCGGAGCTGGGAACGGAACCCAGGCGCCCGAGTTCCCTGCCTGTGCTGATGACGAGACCCCCCCTCAGCGACTAGCCAGGAGCCGACCGGCCCCCCGCTCAGCCCGTGAGTCCCTGTGCGAGGTGCGTTTTGGGGGGAGTGGGGGGCAGGTTTGCTGTTGTGTTTGTGGCAGGGTGAGGTGGCTCCAGGCTCCATCCCCCACCACAAGCCCCCTGGCTTCGGGCAGGTCCTGGGGTCGGTGGGGGGCCGTGGTCTGGGGGGGCACTTACCACTCAGCAACTCCGGGGTGCAGGAACCCTCCCCCTCACCTGCCCACTGCATAGCCCAGCACCCCCTCCCTTGGTGCAGCCACCCTCCTGGGGGCGGGGTAAGAGCCCCCGCAGCCACGGCTCCCCCTTACCCCCCACGGACCGCTCTGCACGACAACCTGCCTGAAGTAGGCCATGGGCCTGGGCTGGGCGTGATGGGGATTAGCCGGGATCAGCGGGTCAGAGGCTGGCTGGCTCCCAGCTCCCATGGGGAGGGGCCGGGGGCACTGGCCTCTTCCCTGGCACAGAGATGGAGAAACTGAGGCACAGAGTGGGGAAGGGACGGACCAAAAGGGGAGCCAGGACACCTGGGATCCAGCCCCTTCTCCTCCCCCCACTAGCCCCCCATGGGTGATGGGGCGGCCCCCCCGGTTGGTTATTGTAGGGCTGTGCCACATGCAGCCGGGCACTGGGCAGGGAGCCGGGCAGAGCGAACCTGGCCGCTGGCTCCTGCAGTCACAAGGGGAGAGCTCAGCGCCCCCCCCGGCACTCTAAGCCCCCTGGGGCTCGGGACGGGGGAGCTTCCGGTCGTACCTGCTAATCCCCCTGGCTAGGGGTGTCGGTGCCTGGCCCCACGCGTCACCCATGCAGGTGGCCTGGCTAGCGGACCCATGCAGGGAGCTCAGCTCTGCCAGGGCTGTGCCACGGTGCAGGGGGCAGCGGAGAGGAGCCAAGAGCCCGCGTGGCCAGATTGGGGCCGGGAAGGGGCGTAGGTGAGCCCCTAGGAATGGCCGCCAGGGGTCAGCGTGAGGGGCCAGCTCGCCCGCTGCCAGGGGCTGCAGAGGGTGTGACCAGCCCAGGGCCAGTCCCAGCTGTGGGACACCCAGCGCAAGGGGTTTCACTCTGGGAATAGAACCCAGGAGTCCTGGCTCTCCCCCTGCCCCCCCGCCATCGGCCCACTCTAGCCCCCAGAGGATCCTGCCTTGAGGTTGGGGTCTTGGAAGGGGCCACGGGGACAGGGCGACACCTGGGCTCTGCACCTGGAGGCAAGGGGGGGGACCCAGTGCCCCCCAAGAACCTTCCTCTGCAGGACCAGGAGGGGCTCCCGGCAGTGGCTGGCAGCTAAGGGGTGAAGGTGCATCCCATTCCCTGGCCCCAGAGGCAGAGCTGGGCCAGCTGCCCAGTGCCCCGTGGCTGGGGGGGGGCATTACCAAGGGGGATTAGACCCGCGCCCCTGAATCCCCTGAACAGCGAGAGGCCCGGCTGGGGAGGAGGTTTCATAACCTCGAGGGTGCTGGGTGCTCGAGGGAGCTGGGCCGGGCCATTAGGGGTTGCAGCCCGAGTCTGTGCCCCCCATTCTGGGGGGCGGGGAGAGCAGGGTGCCCAGCAATCCCCACTGGGTCATTCTCCTTCACCCCAGGGGCTGCCCGGGGAGCTCAGTCGGGGTGGGCCTGGTCCCGTCCCCACACAGCAAATGCTGGTGCCAGGGCTGGAAGGGTTAACGGAGGGGCAGGTGGCGCCTCCCGCAGGCAAAGGGCCGACAAGGTCGTGCCCCCGGCTTGCGGCTGCCCTGGCTGCCTGGCCGCCCTGGCCGCACACCAGCCCCAGCCAGCGGGATGCAGGAACGGCTGGACCACTGCTCCGGACTGGCACAGCAGGGCTATGCTCGCGCGTGGTGCGGGGGGGGGGGAACTGCTGCATCTCGGCACAGCCCCCCCCTCCCCCCCGAGGGTCCCGCAGGCAGCAGCTGAGTCCCCGTCCCCCCAGCCTGCGTGCCCCTTCCATGGCACAGGGAACACATGGGGCTGGCTGCCACAGAATGGGCTGCCCTTCCTCAGCCGCGGCCAAAGGTGGGCTGGCGCTTTGTGTTTCAGATGGGTAAACTGAGGCACATAGCGGGGGAGGGGCTGGCCCATGGACCCAGTGCAGGGCTGGGAACGGGACCCAGGTGTCCTGACACCCCGTCTGAGCTTTCAGCCCAATGAGTGTCACAATGAGTTTTCACAATGAGTGTCCGTGAGCAGCCCTGCTCGTGCCCCCCAAGCCCGGCCCCACTCAGCCTCACCCCCCCCCCCCCCAGGCTGCAGAGGTGCCTGCAGGCATGTGGGGGGGGACGGACGACGATGGGGCTCACCGGGGCCCACGTGGGGAATCAGTGTCTGAGCCACTCGCCCATCCGTGACCCCCGCGGCACCAGCCCCTAGCTCTGCCCCCTATGCCCATCACCCCCCAAGGGCCTGCACCCCCCGCCTGCGGTGGCCTGGCATCACCCCTGCAGCTGGTCGCTGGGCCTGCATCCAGCTGCCAGCCCAGCTGGGGGGGGGGGGAGGGTGCTGCCTGCCCCCTCCCACCCCCCACAGCCCCTCTGCTGCCTTTGCCCCACATACCTGCCTGCTGTTCAGACCGGCCCTGCGCTGCGGGCTGGGTCCTGCTGCCTGGGATCGAGCCACACAAGTTCTGCTCCAGCCAAAGTCCAGGGAAGAGCCGATTCCCCCCCCACGGGGCGGGCCTTGCCAGCCCGGCGTTAACCCCTGCCAGCTCCGGCCTGCAGGCAGGGCCCCCCACACCAGCCCCGGGGCAGGCAGGGCCAGGGCCCTCAGGACCCAGGCAGGGGGGCAGGGCCGGCTCCGCACCAGGCCAGGGCCAGAGGCAGCAACGGGGCCCTGCACCCACAGAGTGAGTGCGCCCCCAGGAGCCCCAAGCCCCCGGCAATGGTCAGCGGGCACCTGCCCCACAGGCAGGCGGTGAGGGGTAACGGGGTCTCTGGAGGGGACCAGGGCGGCGGGGCCAAGCCGAGGGAGCGTGACCGAAGGGGTGAGGGCAGGGGAGGGGTCCAGGCATGGGCAGGAGACACCAGGAGCCTGCCGTGTTGGACCCACAGAGCTGCACAATGTCAGGGGGGCTATAAAGTCTCCCCACTTGCTGCTGCATGGCTGTTCTGTGCCTCAGTTTCCCCAGCTGTACAATGTATGCCCCTGACAGTGAAGAGAACCCAGACAAGTTCCTTTCAAAGGAAAGGAGGGGGATGGGCTGGGGCACGGGAGGGGGTGGCTCACAGGCCCCTGGGTGGTAGAGGGGACCCCCAGGGGCTTGGCAGGGAGCAGGAACCCCCCACCCAGGCCCCAAGCCTGGCCCAGCTGGGCGGGAGGGGGGAGATCAGGCACGGGGAGCGCATGCTGCGCATGGGGCTGGGGAGGGATTAGCGGGTGCCCGGGTCACACGGCTCCTTTGTCTGGGGCTCAGCAAGAGCCTCCGAGGCGGATTGGAGTGAAAGAGGATTTGGGGGCAGGGAGGGGGGAGCCCTGATCAGGCACCTCCCCTCCCCCACGGGGCAAGATCCGGTACAGACGGCGCTCCTGCCCCACCCCCCCACAGCTGGGAGCCGCCCCCCCCCAGCCAGTGCCCCTGCCCCATCCCCCACAGCGCCCCCTGCTGGGAGCCGCCCCCCCAGCCAGTGCCCCTGCCCCGTCCCCCACAGCGCCCCCTGCTGGGAGCCGCCCCCCCCAGCCAGTGCCCCTGCCCCGCCCCCCCCAGCGCCCCCTGCTGGGAGCCGCCCCCAGCCAGTGCCCCTGCCCCGCCCCCCAGCGCCCCCTGCTGGGAGCCGCCCCCAGCCAGTGCCCCTGCCCCGCCCCCCAGCGCCCCTGCTGGGAGCCGCCCCCCGCCAGTGCCCCTGCCCCGCCCCCCACAGCGCCCCCTGCTGGGAGCCGCCCCCCAGCCAGTGCCCCTGCCCCGCCCCCCACAGCGCCCCCTGCTGGGAGCCGCCCCCCAGCCAGTGCCCCTGCCCCCCCCCACAGCGCCCCCTGCTGGGGCCGCCCCCAGCCAGTGCCCCTGCCCGCCCCCAGCGCCCCTGCTGGGACCCCCCAGCCAGTGCCCCTGCCCCGCCCCCCAGCGCCCCCTGCTGGGCCCCCAGCCAGTGCCCTGCCCCGCCCCCCCAGCGCCCCTGCTGGCCCCCAGCCAGTGCCCCTGCCCCGCCCCCCAGCGCCCCCTGCTGGGAGCGCCCCCCAGCCAGTGCCCCTGCCCCCCCCCCAGCGCCCCCTGCTGGGAGCCGCCCCCCAGCCAGTGCCCCTGCCCCGCCCCCCCCAGCGCCCCCTGCTGGGAGCCACCCCCCCCAGCCAGTGCCCCTGCCCCGCCCCCCAGCGCCCCCTGCTGGGAGCCACCCCCCCCCCAGCCAGTGCCCCTGCCCTGCCCCCCACAGCGCCCCCCTGCTGGGAGAGGCTGGGCTCGCCTTACTGCCCAGCTCCCCCCCTTACAGAGGCTCTGACACGTGGCCTGCTCTGGTTTAACTAACGCGTTTTATTCCATTCTCCAGCCAGGCCCCCCTGCAGCACTGGGATCCCCCCCAGTCAGAATCCCACCCCCACGAGCCAGCTGCCTTCTGCCCCACCCCCTGCTGCAAGCCGCCCCGCACATGGGCGGGCGACCTGCAGGCCTGTGACGGGCTCAGGTGGCCCCAGGGCCCACACCCAACGGCTCCCCCCTGTGGCAGGGCACCAGACGGCCCAGCAGCCCCCAGGGTCAGAGCAAAGCGCCTGCAGCCGGGGTTCCCAACGCTCTCCAGCAAGCAGGCGGGACGGTGCCTCTCGCCCAAGGGCGGGGGTAATGCAGGATGGGTCGTTTCTTCCTTGCTCTCCCCGCCCCCGGCCGAAGGGGCAAAGAGCTGGGCCGTTCCCACTGAGCCGTGGCCAGAAGGGCGGACGCCAGGCGAGCTGCAGCACTGGGGGTCCCCAGAGACTTCGCCTGGGCTAGCGAGCAAGGCAGCCGGCTCTGGGCACGCAGGGGAGGGGTCGTCCTGGAGGTGGCTGAGCGAGCCAGCAAGGCGGAGGGCGGCCCCGCTCCAGCCTGGCGGGGGCTCAGGAGCTGGAGGGCTGCAGCTGCCCCTTGTACAGGTACTCCAGGGCAGTGGCGATGGTCCGCATGTCCAGCTCGATGCTGCGCGCCCAGTTCTCCACGTCGCCAATCTCCTGGCGGGCAAAGGAGACATCAGGGCCCTGCCTCGTGCCCCGGCCCCCAGCCCATGGTGGCACGCTTCCCCCGTTCAGCACCGTGCACATGAGCGCAGTGACCAGCAGGGGAAGCGACTCCACCGCGGGGTCACCCCCAGCCCTGCCGGTGCCCGTCACTCCCGACCCACAGCCCCTGCTAGCCCAGCCCTGCCGGTGCCCGTCACTCCCGACCCGCAGCCCCTGCTAGCCCAGCCCTGCCGGTGCCCTCACTCCCGACCCGCAGCCCCTGCTAGCCCAGCCCTGCCGGTGCCCTCACTCCCGACCCGCAGCCCCTGCTAGCCCAGCCCTGCCGGTGCCCTCACTCCCGACCCGCAGCCCCTGCTAGCCCAGCCCTGCCGGTGCCCGTCACTCCCGACCCGCAGCCCCTGCTAGCCCAGCCCTGCCGGTGCCCGTCACTCCCGACCCGCAGCCCCTGCTAGCCCAGCCCTGCCGGTGCCCGTCACTCCCGACCCGCAGCCCCTGCTAGCCCAGCCCTGCTGGTGCCCGTCACTCCCGACCCGCAGCCCCTGCTAGCCCAGCCCTAGGCCCCCAGCCCTGCCGGTGCCCGTCACTCCCGACCCACAGCCCCTGCTAGCCCAGCCCTGCCGGTGCCCTCACTCCCGACCTGCAGCCCCTCCTAGCCCAGCCCTGCCGGTGCCCGTCACTCCCGACCCGCAGCCCCTGCTAGCCCAGCCCTGCCGGTGCCCTCACTCCCGACCCACAGCCACTGCTAGCCCAGCCCTGCCGGTGCCCGTCACTCCCGATCCACAGCCCCTGCTAGCCCAGCCCTGCCGGTGCCCTCACTCCCGACCCGCAGCCCCTGCTAGCCCAGCCCTGCCGGTGCCCATCACTCCCGATCCACAGCCCCTGCTAGCCCAGCCCTAGGCCCCCAGCCCTGCCGGTGCCCGTCACTCCCGACCCACAGCCCCTGCTAGCCCAGCCCTGCCGGTGCCCTCACTCCCGACCCGCAGCCCCTGCTAGCCCAGCCCTGCCGGTGCCCGTCACTCCCGACCCACAGCCCCTGCTAGCCCAGCCCTGCCGGTGCCCTCACTCCTGACCCACAGCCCCTGCTAGCCCAGCCCTGCCGGTGCCCGTCACTCCTGACCCACAGCCCCTGCTAGCCCAGCCCTAGGCCCCCAGCCCTGCCGGTGCCCGTCACTCCCGACCCGCAGCCCCTGCTAGCCCAGCCCTGCCGATGCCCGTCACTCCCGACCCGCAGCCCCCTGCTAGCTCAGCCAGTGCCCCCCAGCTCTGCCGGTGCCCGTCACTCCCGACCCTGAGTGCACATTGCCAGTCGTGCTGAACCATCCATTCCTTGCACCCGGGCAGCTGAGGCTTCTCCACTCATTGCACCAGCGCCCTACAGCACAGCTCTCAGCAGCGTGAAACAATGCAGGGGCCCCAGAGCCAGAGGAGGCAGGACCTGGCCCCCAGCAGCGTGGCGTGGAGCAGACTCTCCGCGGTGGCAGGGAACACGCCCGGCATCGCCAGCACCACCCCATGCCAGGCAGACGGTAGGTCCGGCACTGAGGCTGCAGGTGGGCAAGGCCGGGGGGGAGGTGGCGCTGGGCGCACGGCCATGCCAGCCCCGCTGGGTGGGCGAAGGGGAGGAGTCGGACGCTAGCGGTGGGGTGCATAGGGCAGCTCTGCCTTTGTATGGCGAGACGCGCCGTCCTGCCATCCCCCACGCCCGCTGGGCACAAAGCCGGCTTTGAGGGCTCAGGCCAAGCCAGGCTCAATGGGCCGATTCTCTGCCCTGGAGGCCGGAGGGCGAATAAACCCTGAACAAACGGCTCTGATCCCGACAGCGTCGGGAGAGGACGGGGGTGGGGACGCGGCTCCAGCAGCCCACAGGAGGATGCCAATGCCAGCGTGAAGGGGGCACAGGCAGAGGGGCAAAGCCCTGGGGGGGCCCCAGGCCTGTGTCAGCAGAAGCTGGCACCAACCAGCTGCCTCCCCCAGCATGGTGCCATCCCCTCCTTGCTCCACACCATTCACCTGGCCGAGAGCCCCAGGGAAATCAGAGCCCCCTCCCGCCAGCTGACAGGACTGTGCGCCCCTGGAGACCCTCTGGGGGGCCTTTCCCAGCCCTGGGCTGGAGGCGGATGGCACCTGCCTGGCATTCCTGTCTCTGGGTGAGGGGGATTTCCTTGTGGTTCCCCTGCCCTCGGGGTGGGGCGGGGCACAACTGGGCAGGAGATCCGCCTCCCCAATGGTGTCCCGGGGCAGACTGACCTTGAGCGCCTGGTTGAAGTTCTCTACCATGTTGATCCACTGGCCTGTCTGCTTGGCAAATTGGGCGGCTTGGATCTGCAGCGTCTTCACCTCGTGGTCCAGCTTCCTCTGGTTCACGTAGGCCTGGGCCACCCTGGGCAGGGCAGGAGGGTGATCAGCCAGCCCCTGGGAAGGGCCCGCCCCCCACCAGCCGCTCCGCATGGGGACATACACCCTGCATCTCCGTATCGTCCCCTTCAGCGCCGGGAGCCCCAGCAGCGGCTGGCCGGGATCCAGAGGCCCAGGACGGGCCAGGCCTCGGGGGAGCATGCCCCGGAGTGGGGGCGGAGGCAAACGCTGGGAGTCTCTGGCCGGGGAAGTTCCCAAGCCGGAGCAGCTTAGCGGCTCAGCAGCATCTGGGAACCATCACCAGGCCCTGAGAGCGTCTGGTTCTCATCAGGCCAGGCAGCATGCGGGGCACCAGGTGTGCCCAGAAGGCAGCAGGGCTCCTGGAGGCGGGGAAGGGATCTGGCCCGACAGCTGGAGAGGGGCGTGCCAGGCACTGAGATCCGGGCCATGGGGCACAGGCCTGGGGGAGGCATGTGGGCCAGGCCAGCATCACTGCACATGGTACGGGCAGCAGGGCGGTCACCCTCGCAGCCTCGCCATCCCATTGCCAGACAGGGAATACAGGCACAGGAGCGGGACTCGCACAGTGGAACAGTGGTGAGGGCTGGGAATGGGACCCAGGAGTCCTGCCTCCTAGCCGCCCTGCTCTAGCCACTAGCCCCACTGGCTCTGCAGCTCCCCTCCCCGCCCCGCCCCAGGGGTGCTTTGGCCTCTCTGCTGGGACTGCCACATGGGGGTGCATGGCAGGGCGGGGCCCTTCCCAGCGAGAACGGGGCTGAGATCCAGCAAGTTCGTTTCATGCCAGAGACGGAGTTTACTTTCCCCTGGGCCTGGCCCACGGCTGCGAGCAGAGGGCTGCTCTCCCATCATGGGCACAGTAGCCAGCGTGCCCGACCCAGCTCAGACGAGTTATTTTCAGAACGGACAGAGCTCCCTGCAGAGACGTGCCTGGGGAGGAGCCCACCTTCGTCGCAGGAGGCTCCCGGGGGCATGGAGCGCTGGCAGCCTGTCCCCTGGCTCCTCAGCCCTGCACTGCAGTCAGTGAGCTCCAGCCCGCCCCGGGAGGCTGCGGGTGCTGGAGAAGGGGCAGCCTGCCCGGCGGCAAAGGGGGAGAACCCTGCTGCCCGCCGGGGAATCCGCACCATGACACTGACCAAAGCCTTTGCAACCAAACCCTTCCAGGCCTTGGCCGGGAGGGAACCAGGGGCCATTTCCCAGCCATAATCTGCCCTGCGGGAGAGGGCCCTGGGCGGGGACCCATGGAGGGAGCGGCTAGCTGCCCAGGATCCAGCTCCCTTCCTCAGGCAGCACTCGCTGGATGAGCAGAGTCACATGATTGCTGAATGCAGCCTGTGCTCAGAACGCGGCCGCAAAGTCCCCTCTGCCGAGCCGCTTCCCGCAGTCAGGGGAGCGGGGATCTTGGCCAGGGACTGGCAGGGAGCTGTCCCATTCAGGGGTCGCCGTAAGGAGTCTGTGTGGACTACAGGTTTCCAAGGATTACACAGGCTTTTAGCCACACAGCCCCAGCTAGAGCCAAGGGGGCCAGGCAGAGCCCAGGGCGATAGGTCCCTGCCACTCACCTGGGCCAGAAACCCTGAGCATCAATTTCAGTGTTGCTCAGAAGTGCAGGATTCAGAGCCCTGGAGACACAGTCAGTCCTGGGACTCCGTGACGGGAAGGGGCCACACCCCAAAAGCACATCACTATCCCCACTTAGTTGTGGTCTGAGGCCTGTGAACTCATGACGCTCAGGCCACTAAACAGCCATCAAACAGTAACTACTTGTGGTTGCTGCCAGCCTGGGTTGGACCGGCCTGGACAAAACGTTTCGTACCCCATCATCAGGCAGCGAGGGACAGTGCGCCGCCTGCAGGAACGGGGCTCTCCTGGTAAAAAGAGCAGGGAAGCTCCTGAATCCAGGTGGGGACGTTACATGGCCCCAGGAGTTTGGGGCCACACCGGTGCTGGAGCCTCCCTCGCAGCGGGACAATGGGCTTCTCGCCGCCCCAGCTCTGCTCCATTCTCTCTCGCCACCTGGCCTCTGAGAACCCCCCCTGCCAGCCTCCAGGGACGCAAGGCAGGGCACAGTGTGGTTTAAAGAGTTATAAAACCCGGGCTTCCTCCAGCCCCAGGCAGAACCAAGGCCCCGTGGAGAAGGTGGGAGAAAACGACTCCCGTCCCTTTAATTTATGACAAGGGCGGTGGAAGGTGCTGGGCTGACGTTGGAGTCTCCTTTATGTCCACAGAACCAGGCTGCCTCCTGCCCCCACAGGGACTAAGCCTAGGGGCCGCGGGCAGTTCAGTCGCCAGTCGCCAGCCAAATCCTTGGCCTCGCTGCTTCCCTGGAGGCAACTGGCTCTGGAAATCCCATCACAGCCCTGGGGAAGCCCCGGTGAAAGGCCCATCACCGTGCACCGGGCAGGACACATTTTTGCCTACGCAGCTCCCGACGCTGCTGAGCTGCGGGCCGGCTTTGCCACTCACCCTACGTTCAGGTGGTCCGTCAGGGCCTCGGTCAGGCACGTGGCTGCAGCAATGGCCTCTCGCCGTCTCCGCTCTGCAAGGGAAAGGCCCGAGTGCCCCAGTGTTTGTACTGGGGGGGAGCTCAAACCGACTGACCCTTTACAGACGTCTCCCCGCCAGCACTGATCCCGGAGTCGCAACCGCACAGACCAGCTAGTGCAAAGGCGGGAGTTGCCGGAGAAAACCATGAACACGAAGCTGAGCTGAACCCCGTGAGGGGTGGCCGTGGCATGTACCCCACCCCACGCGCTCAGCAGAAACAGGGAGGTCTGGGATGACAAGGGCCAACCTTGTCCTTCAAGGTGCCTGGGTGGCCTGGGAAATGCTGTCAAATCTCGAGCAACAATAAGGTATTTGTCAGTGCTCGAGGGCGAGGGATCTGGCGGTTAGTCCGGGGGGAGGGAGGGAGCGAAATGGGAGCCAGGACTCCTAGGTTCTAGCCCCGGCTCTGGGAGGCCAGCAGAGTCTAGGGGGTTACAGCAGGTGGCCAGGAGCCAGTGTAAGCCACACACCTCCTGGGTGTGGTGTGGTGCCAGGAGCTGGGACAACAGACACCACGAGAGAGCGAGACTGAATCTGCTCTGCAGCCTTAGGTAACAGCCACACGGCGTTTAGATCATGCACCAAGCTCCAGGGGTCCCAGGTTTGATCCTACCCCGCGTCTGCCGGCATTACACCAGGACTCCTTGGAGTCGCTACAGGCTGGGGAGCGACCAGCTCAGAGGCAGTTCTGCAGCAAAGGACCTGGGGGTTACAGTGGATGAGAAGCTGGAGATGAGTCAGCAGGGTGCCCTTGTTGCCAAGAAGGCGAACGGCCTATTGGGCTGCATTAGTAGGAGCGTTGCCAGCAGATCGAGGGACGTGATTATTCCCCTCTCTTCGGCACCGGTGAGGCCACATCTGGGGTATTGCGTCCAGTTTTGGGCCCCCCACTACGGCAAGGGGGTGGACAAATCGGAGAGTCCAGTGGAGGGCAATGGAAATGATCAGGGGGCTGGGGAACATGACCTACGAGGAGAGGCTGAGGGAACTGGGCTCGTTTAGCCTGCAGAAGAGAAGAGTGAGGGGGGATTTGATGGCAGCCTTCAGCTGCCTGACGGGGGGGTTCCAGAGCGACTGGAGCGCGGCTGTTCTCAGGGGTGGCAGAGGACGGAAGAAGGACCGATGGTCTCACGTGGCGGGGGGTCTAGGTTGGATGCTAGGAATCGCTGTGTCACGAGGAGGGGGGCGAAGCACGGGAACGGGCTCCCTAGGGCGGTGGTGGAATCTCCTTCCTTAGAGGTTTTTAAGGCCGGGCTTGACACCGCCCCGGCTGGGGTGAGTGAGCGGGGCCTGGTGCTGCTTTGAGCCGGGGCTGGGACTGGACCCTGCTGAGCTCCCTTCCCTCCCCGACTTTCGGAGACCTGGCCCGGGCTCGGGGAGCGGCTGGGGGCGGGGCGCCAGGACTCAGGACGCCTGGGTTCCGATTCCAGCTCTGCCACTGACCCACGGCGCGACCTCGGGAGAGTCGCGCCCCCGCCCTGTGCCTCAGTTTCCCCACCCGCAGAGCAGGGCCCAGCCCCCAGCTGGGGCGCGGGTGGAAGTGGGGGGTGCGAAGGGCTGGTGCCGAACGACACCGGCGGGCCCACGGCGCCCTCGCGGAGTGACGTCACTGGAAGAGTGACGGGGGCACCGAGTCCTGGGGCGGGCAGGCCACCCCGAAGGGTGATGTGACGTCACGAGAGTGACGTCATCACGCGGCGCCACGGCGACCCCGAGGCCCGGCGCGACGCAGGCAGGCAGGCCCAGCCCCCCGCAGAGTGACGGCCCCGCGGGCCAATAGAAACCCGGCCCGGGGGAGCAGGCTGCCATGGAGACGCCGGCGGACTCACCTTGCTGCTCGCGGCGCTCGCTCTGCTGGGCCTGGTGCTCGCGCAGCAGCCGGGACAGCATCGCCCGGCCGGCCGCCCGCTCCGCGCGGGTCATGTGACCGCGCCGCCACGTGACCGCCCGCGGCCCCGCCCCGCCACGGGGGCGGGGCCTGGCCCTGGGGCGTGGCGCGGCGGGGGCCGTTTGACGCGGCGGGGGGGCGGGTGTTTGGCAGTGGGGGGGTGACGCGGCGGGGGGGGGGGCGGGGGGCGTGGCGCGGCGGGGGCCGTTTGACAGCGGGGTGCGGGGGCGGGTGTTTGGCGGGGGGGGGTGGTGGGGGTGACGCGGCGGGGGGCGGGTGTTTGGCAGTGGGGGGGTGACGCGGCGGGGGGGGGGGTGTTTGGCACTAGGGGGGTGACCCAGCGGGGGGGCGGGTGTTTGGCAGTGGGGGGGTGACGCGGCGGGGGGGCGGGTGTTTGGCAGTGGGGGGGTGACGCGGCGGGGGGGCGGGTGTTTGGCAGTGGGGGGGGTGACGCGGCGGGGGGTGTTGGCAGGGGGGGGTGTTTGGCACTAGGGGGGTGACCCAGCGGGGGGGCGGGTGTTTGGCAGTGGGGGGGTGACGCGGCGGGGGGCGGGTGTTTGGCAGTGGGGGGGTGACGCGGCGGGGGGGCGGGTGTTTGGCAGTGGGGGGTGACGCGGCGGGGGGCGGGTGTTTGGCAGTGGGGGGGTGACGCGGCGGGGGGGCGGGTGTTTGGCAGTGGGGGGGGTGACGCGGCGGGGGGGGCGTTTGGCACTAGGGGGGTGACGCGGCGGGGGGGGGCGGGTGTTTGGCAGTGGGGAGGTGACGGCGGGGGGGGCGTTTGGCACTAGGGGGGTGACGCGGCGGGGGGGGCGGGTGTTTGGCAGTGGGGGGGTGACGCGGCGGGGGGCGGGTGTTTGGCAGTGGGGGGTGACGCGGCGGGGGGGGCGTTTGGCACTAGGGGGGTGACGCGGCGGGGGGGGCGGGTGTTTGGCAGTGGGGAGGTGACGCGGCGGGGGGGGGCGTTTGGCACTAGGGGGGTGACCCAGCGGGGGGGGCGGGTGTTTGGCAGTGGGGGGGTGACGCGGCGGGGGGGGGGCGTTTGGCACTAGGGGGGGTGACGCAGCGGGGGGGCGGGTGTTTGGCAGTGGGGGGGTGACCCAGCGGGGGGGCGGGTGTTTGGCAGTGCGGGGGGTTGGCCCCCCATGGAGAGGCGATGTGGCCAGAGTAAGTGCTCTCTGGAGAACATTCATGGCCATGGTTAGGCCAAACCCTGGAATCACTGAAGTGTTTCACGGAGTAAGGACTAAGTTTTTGGCTGGGGCCAAAGCTTGCTTGGCCTTACAAAGAATTCAGTGTAAATACAGCTCCTATCAACGTTGGAGGGTCCTTAAGATGTATCCAGGGGCTCTGATTTCACCCTTCCACACCAGTCTCACATTGGGAGCGTGCCGCATGGCTAGAAAGGGCTAAACGTTGTGCAAAATGAATAACCCTCGAAACAGGTAGGGAGAAAATGTTTGTGTTTTCAGGTATTTACATATGTATGAGCAGGGTCCACAATGTGATCCACAGTCCCTGTCTAGGCTGCATTCGGATAATGCCGAGGTCAAAAGAAGATCCTATCCTTTAAATGAATTGTAAACACGGGATATCTCGGTATTTATCGCTCTTTGAAATGTACTGTTAATGGTGGAGGAACAAGCAAATGGCCAATTGTTAATTCCTATAGCTAAGTACCGGTGATGGACCTCCTTCAAAGTCATCCTGATTACCTTTTGTTCCCTGAGGAAATCCCAGCTTGTCAAAGAAGACATGAAATTGTATAGAAGATCCTTGGTCCCTGATTCTGTCATCTCAGATCTGCTTAGAGTTCATCAGGGGACGTTTGCATGGCAAGACTCAGGTTCCAGTTATGCTGGTACGCCCCCATGTCACCACCAACCCACTTTCCCCAACATCCAGGTTCTTACCACCACCAGCTGCCTCCAACAGCTGTAGCTTCACCAGCCAGCTCTGCAAACTACAACCCTGACCCGCTGCGCTCCACCTCCATCACCCTGCATTTTAGCCAGCCTGAAGTGCAGCACTCATTGTGCAGCGCTCCAGACATGATAACAGGACATACACAAATCTGTGATTATCCTGTTCCCCACCCCGCCCCCGTTCCCCCTCCCACAGAGCACAGATGTGTCAGGCCATGTGTGTTTCCCCAGCAGTTCTGTTTCTTTTCAATAAATGAATTCTTTGGCTTTGCAAACATTCTTTATTGCATTAAGTAAAAGATAGCATAGGCCAGGAAAGTAACAGGCCCGGCAAGTCAGAGCATCGTACGTAGCAAACACAGATGCCTGTTAGCATTAGAGCCTCTGCACTTGACTCCCGTGCAGGGCACCAAACGTTACTGGTGGCTTTCAGCCTCAAATTGCTCCCTCAAGGCATCCTTAATCCTTACAGCCCATGCTGGGCCCTCTAAGAGCCCTGCTCTCTGGCTGTTCAAATTCAGCCTCCAGGTGTTGAATCTCCGTGGTCCATGCCTCAGTGCAGCGCTCACCCTTCCCTTCACAAATGGAGGGTACAGCACGCAGATACAATTGTGGGGACATTGTCATCGGCCAGGTCCAGCTTCCCATGCAGATAGCGCCAGCAGGCCTTTAAATGGCCAAAAGCACACTCCACCGTCATTCTGCACCGGCTCAGCCTGTTGTTGCACCGCTCCTTGCTGCTGTCAAGGCTCCCTGTGTAGGGTTTCATGAGCCACAGCATCAAAGGGTAGGCAGGGTGTCCAAGGACCACAATAGGCACTTCGACTTCCCCTACGGTGATCTTCTGGTCTGGGAAGAAAGTCCCAGCTTTGCAGCTTCCTGAACAGGCCAGTGTTCTGAAAGATGTGTGCGTCATGCACCTTTCTGGGCCAGCCTGTGTTAATGTCAATGAAACGCCCACGGTGATCCACAAGCGCCTGGAGAACCATTGAGAAATAGCCCTTCTGATTTATGTACTCGGTGGCTAGGTGGTCTGGTGCCAGAATTGGAATATGTGTCCCATCTGTTGCCCCTCCGCAGTTAGGAAAACCCATTTGTGCAAAGCCAGCCACAATGTCCTGCCCGTTGCCCGGAGTCACCCGCCTGATGGGCCAGAGGGGATTCTGGGTGTAAGTGAAGCTCAGGAGTTGGTAGTGGCTCAGCAGAGCGATGCTTCTGTGGAGCAAGGTAGAGGTGATTTGGTGCTTCGAAAAATTCCTGAAGAGAAGATTGTTCAGGGTGGTCTGTGCAAGCAGCTGGCTGCAGCTGAAGGGTGTGGAAGTGATTTAATCAAGGAAGTTTCAGTTCCTCACAGCCAGACATGTTCTGTTGTGAATGGATCCACTGACTCTCCTCTTGAAAGATCCAGAGTGGAGAGCTTTGAGAGGGTCTCAGACGGGGTGAAAGCTGTTAAGTTGAAGAGCCCTATGACCAAGTGGCTGTGCTTGGCCAGTTTGTTGGGGAGACAAGGTTGTTGAGAGAGGAATGTCTCCGTGCTGATTCTTTGAGTGAGCCGTCTGTGCTTCAGGGTCTGAAAACAGGTTTGGTTCCTGGTGTTTCAGAGCAGGACAGTTTTATGGCTGAATGCTTAAGGATGCCGGGGAGAGCAAGCAAACTCTCACCCTCCAACTCTCTGGCTTTGTGTGGTATCTCTGTAAGACAGAGCCCAGCCTTGGAATTGGTAGCAATTAAGGATCTGAAAACGGTGAACAAGCTAGTATCTGTGTTGCTGCACCTTACCTGGCTGGCAGGGAGAAGAAGGACTTGCCAATAGCTGTTAGCACCAGAGAGCCCACCCCATCAGCCAGTGAATTCTGGTAAGCAAGAGAAATCAGGGTGTGATCCTACAGGACAAGAAGAAAAAAGGGAACTTAATTCTGCAAAGGGAAGCCACAGGGTAACCCTGAAAGACCCAAACCCCAGTGGTATTTGGCCAAAGGGGTGGCATGACAAAAATGATTGTAGATGGACACGTGCAATGGATTTGGTGTTATTGCTAATGGTGATTTTTGTAACTCATGTGTTGCTAATACCAAGAGTTGTAAAAATGTACAATGTGCCTAATCTTTGGGCAAATCCCTTGAACACGTTGAGAGTGAAGCATAAGAACACACTTTAAGTTAAAAGACCTTGTGATCCTGATATTTCAGTTAGTGCCTGTAAACAGTCCTGGAACTTTTCACAGGGGAAAAGACATTCCAGACCGGATGTGCTGTCTGAAAAGAGAAACTGAGGCACACTACCATATTGCTTTCACGGCTAAATGCCAAGATTCCTGCACTATGGACAACATTAATATCTATAGTAACTTGATGTTAATTGGGTTCCAAACATTTGCCAGAGCTTGTATGGATAAAATAGCTATTTTCTTTAGCTCTTGGCAAGATCGCATGAGACATACAGGAACCATGCTGCAAGAGCAGATCCAATCCACTTTTGTTCTAACCAAGTTTTACCTTGAGTTTGTAAAGAGATTCAATCATGTTATTGAACATGACTTTGATAAACCATTTCTGTTATACACTGATACGGCTTCTAACCCAATACTAGCCGTAGTAAGACAGAACCAAGGATGGGGAGCTCTTGGGATGCAGTCAGTGACATTTGTGTCATCCCTTCCTGCATCAATTGTGCGTTGGGGGTGTGACGTTATGGACATGAACTGTGACCATATAGATCATTGTTGAACCAAGGTCCTACAGTTGCATCAAATCTTTTACCTAGGAGGTCAGGTAAGGTGTCTATGAAAAGGTTATGATTATGCTATCTGGATGTATGTATCATTCTTGTATTTAAAGTTATCAGTATTGGCTCTATACCCTCTGTATTTCCAACTTGTGCTCTGCTTCTGGGTGACACCCCAGACAATTTGGCATCAGCACTGCCTAGCCTGCTTGATGGCCCATTAAGGGCCATCAGCTACACAACTGACCCACTGAGAAAAGGCAAAAAGAAAAGGAGGACTTGTGGCACCTTAGAGACTAACCAATTTATTTGAGCATGAGCTTTCATGAGCTACAGCTCACTTCATCGGATGCATGCCGTGGAAACTGCAGCAGACTTTATTTATAAAACGAAAGCTCATGCTCAAATAAATTGGTTAGTCTCTAAGGTGCCACAAGTA